AGCTCAAGATGTTGGAAAAATTCGGGTAATGGTTGTTCTAAATTGTGATTCAGTTTGCTGCATTTTTTTTAAAAAGATATTACTGACACTCATGGGATCTTTTAGGGGAAAAAACTTTGTAATAAAGTATGAAGGCAGCTTCAAGTATGGAAATTCCGATTGCTTTATTCTGGAGTACGTAGAACATGATAGACCTGAGGTAATTGGGGCTTCTTGGATCATGTATTCTTCTTTTCTTTTCTTGATTTTTCTTCTCTCATGATGTCTTCAACTGATTTTCAGGTGCTCAAGAAAGAAATAGACGTTTTCCAGCTACAGTGGTATGGCTATTGCTTGTTTAGAGCACTTGCTAGTCTTCATAAGCAGGTTAGAGTTCCTGACACGGTTCTTTCCATAGAAACGTTTTCCCCAAATAATGGATCTGAAGAGTTTTTTGAAATTTGACAGGGAACTGTTCATAGAGATGTCAAACCAGGCAACTTCCTTTACTCTTCTAAGGCTAACAAAGGTTACCTTATTGATTTTAACCTTGCCATGGTCAGTAATGCCTGTTCTTCGTGATTCTGTTTTTCTGTCTCTCATTAATGGTTTTAATGCACAAGTTTTTATGTTTCACTTTGTTATGCTTGTCATGTTTTTTGTAACAGGATCTTCAACAGAAGTATGGAAGCAAAAGTAAGTATCATCATTTGTTGGTCGTTCTACTACGAAATTGACAGGCCGTCTAATTCGATTGTGTTTGGCAAACTTCAGCAGTCTCACAACCTGCTAAGAAGTTCTGAGTGACTATTGCAATCTAATTTTTATAAATTATAGGATTGATGGCCAAATCTCTTTCTCAACCTCTATTTATTAGTTTCTGTCAAGAAAGTTGTAGTTTATTAAGTCAAACCTACAAGATAAAGCCTTAGTCCAAATTTCAATCCGCAATGAAATGCCAATTGGTTCCTTTTCATGATGTTTGTGTTGAAGTAATACACTTGCTTCGTCATTGTCATACAATAAAAATGATGGAGACTCAGTACCCTTCTACACTGCAGACAAATTGAAGTTGGGGTACAAGCACACAGAAGATTTCTACCCTCCTACATTTCAGAATTCAAAATCTCTTACTCCAACTAAGGGTGGGAAGTCCACAAGGGCTAAATCTTTGAGTGCACTTAAACTGGAGCTGCAGGAGGCAAAGGGTTCAAAGTCACCTGTAGATCCCAGGAACTTGAAAAGAAAGGTTTTGGACCAGAAGAAGTCTTATAATGATTTAGCTAGTCGCAATACAATAAGGAGCCAAGGTCCAGATGGTTCAGGCATAACCTCTACCAGGGATTTGACTAGCGCCAGTACCCCTTCAGCAAAAAGGCTGCGGGAACCTTTGCCACGGCAAGGTCGCAAGGAGCTTATAAACCTTTTGCATGATGGGATGCGCACGAATCTGGAAGCATCCAGCATTCCAGCTACTCTGAGAAAAAGAGTAGCTGCTCCTCCCAGAAAATCAGAAGGAAAGCTACGGATCGTCTCCCCAATGCCTCTTCATTCAAGAGGTGTTGCTGTTTCTGGTGCTGGCTTGAGAAGGAGTAAGGATATACAGTTTGCAATAGATTTCCCATTAGATTACCTTGATCATAAGACATTGACGTCGTTCATCGTTGTATTATCTTCATTTGATCCTCAGGTGATCATGGTAAAGAAGGGCCTTGTGTAGGGACCAAGGGCTTTAGGGCTCCAGAGGTGAGAATTAAGTCGTTAATATTAGTATATGGTACCCTTTTATTGAACTAGTTAGGTCATTTTTGTGGGACTTTTGTCTTATTGGAGAAACTTAAGGCATTTTAAAAGAGAACCAGAGGTCTATTTACCCTGATCATCTTATTACAAATCTATCACTCCCTATTCATCTCTGGGAAAGTAAAAAATGGCAGTGCTAAGATCCCTGGCTGTCACTTCTGATTTAGACACAGTTATTGAACTTCTTATGCTTATTTCATTTACTCTCCCCATTGATGTACGATGAATAACTATCGCATGTTCGTGACTTTCTTTTACGACTGCCGCACTTTCCAATAATCTTCTCTGTAAGAGTAGAGAAACTCAGTAGTTTTATTTTGCAGGTCTTGTTGAAATCTCCACATCAAGGACCCAAGCTTGATGTCTGGTCAGCTGGGGTCACCTTGCTCTATCTGGTGATTGGAACGTCGCCCTTTCTTGGCGATCCAGAGCAGTATGAACTTGTCCTTTTACTTCATAATCTAAGTCAACAAGAAAATTGTTGTCGTGTTTGAGGGTATCAAACTCCTTGCAGGAACATTAAGGAAATAGCAAAATTGAGGGGCAGTGAAGATCTATGGGAAGTTGCAAAGCTACACGACCGTGAATTGTCATATCCCGTGGTACTTTAAAATTTCATTCTGATTTATTTACATATCATGGAAAGTTTCTTGTTGGATAAACAACCAGGAGTTTCTGTTACAGGATCTTTACGAGACACAGTCCTTGGAGTCAATGAATCTGCGTGATTGGTGCAGAAAAAACACAAAGAGGCTGAACTTCCTCGAGGTGCTCCCGGAATCACTGTTTGATCTTGTGGACAGATGCTTGACAGTAAACCCAAGAGCGAGGATCAGTGCAGAGGAAGCTCTGAGGCATGAGTTCTTTGCACCATGCCATGAGCAACTGAGAAAGCAGAAGCTACTCAGACTGGGGTTCAACCAAGACTCGGGAATGAGCCCTAGCATTCAAAGAAACGATCATCAACCGCGCAGCGTCGCCTCACAAGCTAGATGAGCTGGTTAAATGACTTTCCTCTTGTGATCTAACGCTCGCTAGAAGCTCTCCCTCAATCCAGCATCATCTCCTAGCTTTTCCTAGAGAAGTCTACCTTGTTAGATGTTGTACAAAGATGTAACATTTAATTTTTGGCATTCCTTTCCATTCTTTTGTATATTGCGAGATGCTCGAGCCGTTGTAACTAAACATTATCCGACATCGACTGTTAAAATCGAGAGCAAGAAAATCCCAGATGAAAGTTCTAACGAGCTTCATCAGTGTGTGACTATGTTAGACTCATCTCATCTTACGGGTGTCCAACCATTTTCGTGTAACAATAGTCATAGTAAAATAGTGTTGAAGAGCACCTTGCTGTCACTTTTTTTTCTCCTCATTGAGTTTTCCTGGAAATGGAAGATGTGTTTTCTGGAGGCACGATAGAATTGCTGAAGTAAAATGCCAGAACCATCTGCGGTCGATCCTCAGGCAATTTAAATTGTTTTCCTGGACCGAGGGACATACATATGAATTCTCAACATTGGATCTCACTGTTCATGACTGAATGGAAAGGCACAAACAACGCCATAGGAAGGACGAGTGAAAATTGTTGACTGAATGTGAACGATATTGTATTTCATTGAATTGAATGAAAGTATTAAATAATGCACTCTATAACAAAATCATTTTCCTTTTAATATCATTACATTGGGGCGTGCAGACATTTGGCAATCGAGTAATCCCCACCGGGTTTGGAAGTTCCTCTTCGATCGTATTTGACTAAATAGGGAAAAAAACACACAAATCCATGACAACGGTCCCTAGGAAATGGCACGGTGGAGGTCAAACTTGGGGCATTTCAAATTCATGAGGTGAGAGCCAAGCTCTTAGGGGTTCAAATCCGAGAGATCTCGCTTCTCGAGACGAAAGGACCCAAGCTATTATAGAAGAATTTTAGGATTGTTTCACTTTCTGAGGCAGAAAGTTCGAGTCCTTGTGGGTTGAATTTAGATCTCTCGCTTCCTGAGGCGGAGGCAGGCCCAAACTCTCGGGGTTGAACTTGGGACCTTTTGCCTTGGAGGTAGGAAGGGTCAAAGTATGTATAGGGATGAATTTAGAACCTCTCGGTTCCTAAGGCGGAAGGCCAAATTCTTGCTTAGGTTCAAATTTGGGACCCTTTGCTTCCCGAGGTGAAAGGCCCAAATTCTGCTTAGGGTCAGACTCGGGACCTCTCGCTTCCCGAGGCTTACATAAAAACATCTTCAACACAATCCGTACATTTTATTTTGATATAAATTATTACATAAAAACAAATCTATTTAACTGAGAATAAAAGTTTAAACTATTTAAAATTACACTCAAATTAAAGTTTTATGTTATAATACAAATATGAGAGAAATTCTGGAGTGTTAACCAGATTCGGTCAAGCAATTTAACTGAGGGAATAAATAAACTTCAGAAAAAGAGGAAATCCCACTTAATTTAAAAAAAATAGTTAATAATGAAAAAGTAAAATTATATATCGTATTGATGCGTAAATCATTTATAGTTTTGTGGTCTTATTTCTTAAATTTACCAATAATGGCATATTACTAATTTGAAACCATCCTCCCGAGTAAGAGTTAAAACTGCTTCATCTGAGATCTAATGTGAACCTCGGCATTCCTCAGATGTTAAACACTTAGAGGGTATTCCCTCCGCCTAGAAAAGAAAAAGATACAGGTAGATTTTAGGAGGGCCGAGTGTGCGAGCACCGGCACGTTAAAGTAAAGAACCTAGTCCTGTCAGCCCATCAGATATATACATGGGGCGGCCCTAGTCGGAGCTTCGGCTCCTGCTCTATGGTGAGGATACCCTTAACCACCGAGGATCCACGGAGGGGTAGGCAGGCTATCTAGTCTTGTGGTCTTAACTCCAGCGTTAACCTACTCTATATTTGTGGCCTTATTTCCTAATTTGAAACCAGGGTTACCATATATCAGGTAAAGAAGTTGAACAAACATGTACCTGAAGGTTCACTAGCATAGACAATTTACAATTCAAATTCAAGAATCGGCAGATCATTGAAAAGGAGGAACTTCAGGGAATGATTCTAAATTCTGCACAAAGAAGGATGCATAAAAAGATAAACTACACCTGGCAAGACGCCTTAACCTCATAAATGAAGCTGTAAAAGGGTATGCCTTCTAGTGGGTTAAAAACTCAAGAATCTTGGTCAAGTAGTCACACATAGATGATAGCGATTAAGGGTTGGCCTCAACCTTAAAGGAATATAAATATATCCTCAACGCTTGAGCCATTCATCAGCATCACCATGCATGGTAAATGCATAATTCGACAGTTTGCGAGAAAATACTGCTTAAAGAATCCACCAAAATGCTCAAATGAAAGGAAATATAGAAAGATAAGAGGGGTCTCTCGAGTCGATATTAATATGCCCCTGAATCCTAATCATGCCCATTCATCATTCTCACAGGTACGAAGCCCATGAACTAACCGCATCCTACTGGGGTTTGACTAACCTTAATTCGACTGTCGGACTCTGGAAATGTCGTGCACCTGAACAGAACAATCATATGCATTTCTCACGAGGCCACCTTTCCCTATATCATTCTTTCCCTGTATCATTCTTTCCACCTTTGCCAACTCCATGAGCATCATCGGCCTTGGTCAATAGATCTTTCTTTTCCTGCTCACTGGACCAATTCCTACGGGTTGCTGAATGAGTCTGGACACAATTATCACCATGAGAATTACCTGACTTGGTATGACCACCTGAAGATGTGCGATGCATTTCCTGTCGATGGCTAGTTGACTTAGGCTTGGGATCTTCCGGCCCACGAGAATAATAATCATCTCTGCTGTGCATCTTGGGTGGAGATCTGGACCTATATCTGCTCCTATTCCTGGTCCTGCTTCTGCTCCTACCTTTGTTGTACTTCTTGGGTGGTGATCTAGACAAATATCTGCTCCTACTCCTGCTACTGCTTCTGCTTCTGCTTCTGACCCCGCTCCTGTCCCTGCTCCTGCTCCTCCTGCTTCTTCTATGATGGTGCAGCCGATGACTTCTGTAGTCAGATGAGCAATTTCTCCTATCTTTAGATCCATGGAATTCTTGGTGAGTATCTTTAGGGTCCAAACGATTGTCTTTATGATGCCTTTCACTGGTAAAGCCTTCAGCAGGACAGGTTTTTTCTTCCTTCAGGTCATCCTTATGCCCCATAGGAGAGCCAGACGTCAATCTAGATGCTGAAGAATGCCAAGATGGGGTCTTCCAGCTCGACTTGAGTTCTTCAATAACCCTACAGATTAACAGGAGGTTTCCTCCAAGCTACAACTTAACATTTATCTTTGGCCAGTAAATGACTAATAAACACAAATTAAGAGTGTAAAGTGACATTGTAAAGTAAGTGATCCCACTTTGTTATATTATATCCCAGGACTCACAAGATTACAAGAAGTAATTAACCTAGAGAATTCAGAGGGCACAAATAACATTAGTGCCTATGCAGGGTCTGGCTGCACAATAATCTCTACAAAACTCAGAGGACACGCGGTAGGTTGAAAATCCACGTCTTTTACCATGTGTGCATCTAATTCAAAAGCTGTCCTGTTTCTATAGGGCCAAATGTGGAGAAGTAACAGCTATTTACCATCTGATGCAGCCTAAGCGGATAGAAACTTCCTTTGCTTGTTCGCAATCTCCAATTACATCAGTCGAAAACAGTATGCATTACAAACATTTTACAAGTCATTTCAACATAAGGCACACTTATGGTCATTCATTCTGCGGACACAAGAATATGTAATCAGTGGATGGATAGTATAGACAGCAGATGTATCATGTTTCTCCGTGATCTTAGTCCCCTGTTAAGTTCTCAAGGATAAACATATACTGCACAAGGAGGCAGATAAATTAAAAAACTCCGATCTATCCTCCATGAGCTTTCCTTTTTTCTTCAAAACATGAGTGACTATAAGGAAAAATCTCGAAACGTGCAGAGAAACAGCAGTCGTTTGTAAACAAATGAAATGAATCTGATTCTTTTTAAGCGAATAGATGACAGCATGATGGAGAGGACATTATATTACCTATCAGATTGGATTTCCTGAACTACCTCCTCCTTGGAAATATCGTTTTTCCCTTTCAAGATGTGGCTTATCCCATTGGCCTGTACCGCAGCTTGTATAGCAACTGCTTTGATGCTCACTTCCATGGAAACAGCTTGCTGCTGAGACCACAACTGCTGACTCAATAGCGATTGCTCGAATTCATATTGCTGCCGAGCTATGGCACGCATGGAATGCAGCACAGGATCTGGCATAGATTGCCTTGCTTCATTTGTTGTCTCAGAAGTCTTGATCACTGATTCGTCCATGTTCATTGGACAAATTGGTACACTTGGTGGCCTTTGCCCAGAATCAAGTCCCTCAGTCAACCTGCAGTCCCCAAACAGGAATGCACTTAAGAAGCAGACCGCATGAAACATCCTAAAACAACAAAGAATTTCATCTTAGCTAGAAAACCCCGTACCCTTTTCGGGTCAGAAATCTTCAGCAGTTAGAACATCAAAAAGGGCAACTTATTCAGTAAGGATATATATATTTTGCATTCTCAATAGCATGCTCATTCGCACCGGCACTCTTCCTCGCGGACTCTATCGGCCCATCACGAAAGGCTTTGCAAAGATCTGTTTCTAGAGTACCCTGGTTTCAACAAACACATTACAAGGCGCATTTTGCCGATACCCATCAAGATCACAGGGTTGTCTACCGCGGCAATCAATGCAAGTTTCGTACTTTAACAACCTCTTAACGTATTTCGCAAAATTTCTTTCCCATAGCAAAAGCTAAACCCCCAGGAAAGCGCACGTTCGAGCCACCACAGCGCAGGCCAATGCACAAACACGTAAGCATCTACTCGACTCGATCAGGGCTCATGAAAGAATGCGCAGGCGGACAACGAGGCGGACCCAGATCACCGCGACCAAACAAAACCGCGAAAGGTGCCACCTTTCCTGCTATTCTCAAGCAGAAAACAGCGAATGGGTGGGTCGTCGAAGCTAACAAGCGGATCGCGAACGGTGCAGAACCTGAGAGATGGCTGAACACGGCGAGGGACTTGGAGTTGGAGGCAGCGATCACCCCAGTTTCCGTCGTTATGTTATGGCTCTCGATCGAGAGAGCCTCCTTTATGAAGGTAGGAGTTCCAAAAACAGCAAAAAGTGGTGATGGAGCGCCGATCCTCTACGATGGCATTCACTCGAAGGTACAATGCATAAGCATCTAAGAACCGTGAACCACCTACTAAAAATCGATTCCGAAAAATTGAATCGAAAAAATGCCCCCATTAGTTCTCTCTCTCTCTCTCTCTCTCTCTCTCTCTCTCTCTCTCTCTCTCTCTCTCTATACATATATATATATATATATATATATATCGATCCGGTCCGGATGGGCAATTCCATATCTAAAACTTAGAACCAGACCGATACTCACCGATTCTAGTAAATTAGAATTAGGAACTGTCGATTTTGGGTCGGTTCGATCTAATTTCGAGTGGTCTAGGCGATTTTCGGTTCATTTGCACACCCCTAACATCTAATGGCGAAAGGGTGTTCTCAGATCAGGCGTTTGCCCAAAATTCGACCTGCCCTGAGCCGAATTCGGTTTCGGCCTCTTGTCAATTTCCTTAAAGTAGAATCGATATTGCAATTACAAGGCAACTTGCAGATAGCTATAAAAATAAGGGCACAAACTATTAAAAATCATAAATTATGCTCACTCTGACACATATTTATCTTGAACTTTTTCAATTATACCAAAAATCTAAAATTTGTACATGTGTGTCGCATTTATCCTCTTTCAAAATTTTGTTAATGAAAATTGTTAAAAAATGCCTATACGGACACGGAAATTAAACGGTATTGACATGGTGTCCATGTGGCTTAAGTGAAATAACAATCTTGTTTTGGCTAAAAAATCGTCTAACGGAACATTAACAGAGAAGGGTAAATATGTTACATAGGTACAATTTTGAGGGTCTTTTATGTTACGGGAAAAAATTTAGGGTTAATGTGTCACATTGAATATAGTTTGGGGTTTTTAATGTCACGAAAAAAAATCTATGTAATATTTCATAATGAACATAAATTAGAGTTTTTTGTGGCTTTTTCTCAAATAAAAAGTAAGAAAATTCCAATAAAATTTAAATAGTATCATATCTCGTATCGTATGAAAATTCATGAATTGGAATTAGACGTTTTAGTTATTTTTATTGAATATAATTGCGTGAAGAACTTTTGAAATAAAGGCGGTACAGATTTTTAAATGCATATTGTTGTCCTAAATTAATGGGCACGTCGGAATAAAATGAGCCGTGATTTTATAGTAAATCGAAACATAATTTCAAAAGGAGTGAAAAATAAAATCACATGAAGGCTGCGCATGACAACCATTCTGTGCCCGGGAACAGATTTTGGTCAGAAATGATTCTTTTTTATTCTGTGCCCGGGAACAATTTCTAAGCATTTGAAGGCGTTTGGTAACTGCCGAAAATTTCTATTCTTAGAATAGAAAAAGAACAGAAATGCATTTGGTAACTATCCAAAATTTCTTTTATTAATAATATTTTGAATTTTTTAATATTTCTTTCTTTTTTTTATTTTTTTCCCTTGGCCGTGGCCGGTCGCCGGCGCTGGCGACCAGCAACAGGCCAGGGCCGGCGAGGGCGTCGCGGCCCTCGCTGTCGCCACCCCCGGCGAGGTCGAGCCTTGCTCGACCAAGGTGAGGCCGACCTTGCCGTCGCCACCCCTGGTGACGGCGAGGTTGGCCTCGCCAGATCACGGCAAGGTCGAGCCTCGCCCGGCCAAGGCGAGGCCGACCTTGCCGTCGCCACCCCTGGTGACGGCGAGGTTGGCCTCGCCAGATCACGGCAAGGTCGAGCCTCGCCCGGCCAAGGCGAGGCCGACCTTGCCGTCGCCACCCCTGGGGACGGCGAGGTTGGCCTCGCCAGATCACGGCAAGGTCGAGCCTCGCCCGGCCAAGGCGAGGCCGACCTTGCCGTCGCCACCCCTGGCGACGGCGAGGTTGGCCTCGCCAGATCACGGCAAGGTCGAGCCTCGCCCAGCCAAGGCTAGGCCGACCTCGCAGTCGCCACCCCCCGCGAAGGCGAGGTCGGCCTCGCCATGGCCGGGTGAGGCCCGCCTCGCCGTCGCCAGATCACGGTGAGGTCGAGCCTCGCCGTCGCTACCCCCGAGACGGCGAGGTCGGCCTCGCCATGGCTAGGCGAGGCTTGACCTCGCCTAGATTTGGCGAGGCCGACCTCACCGTCACCAGCCCCCGCGATGGCGAGGTAGACCTCGCCTTGGCCGGGCGAGGCTTGACCTCGCCCAGATCTGGAGAGACCGACCTCGCCAGATTTGGGCAAGGCCGACCTCACCATCGCCGGGGGCGGGCCAGCGGTGGGCTAGGAAGAAGATGAAGAACAAATAAAAAAGAAAGAAGAAAACCAAGAAGAATCAGTTCCGGAAAAATTGTTCAAGAATCAAGAAACTACTTTTTTTTGCTTCTTGATTTTGTTCCAAAACTGATTCTGGAATCAATTTTTTGCAAAATTATGCCCGGGCACAAAAATTTTAACAAACGGATTTCTGTTCCCAAATTGATTCTGGGAACAAAAGAACAGAAATTTTTACTATTTGACACATTGCCAAACGGGCCCTAAATAGCATAGCATATAGACTGCATTTACTTCTTTGAAACCATATACTAAACAGTACCCGGAATTTGACAAAAATAAAAAAACAGTACCTGGAATATCGAGGTTGCCCTAGTGGCCACCAATGGGAGGTGGGGAGTTCGAATCGTCTCGGAGGTTAGGGGCGATGATGCGTTTAGTTTCAAGTGTAGGTTTGATCTAGAGCAGGACAAGACAAAAAAAAAAGTCCATTATAAATTTCATGAAATAAAAAAATCAGTTTTTTTTTTTTTTAAATTTTCGAGCTAGAGTTTTTTGATTGCTCCACCATGTCCTGAGCGATAATTCCTGTTCACGCTCCTCGCGTTCCTCCTCCTCCTGCTCCTCCTCGCCGTCGTCTCCTCGACTCGCCGGAATCGCTGCGAAGTGAACCGGAAGAGCGACCACTTCGGAGCGAAGCGGAAGATGGCCTCTCCGTAGGAGCCAAAAAAAAAGAGGGCGTCTTTCGTCCGTCTCTCTAACCTCAGGTTCGTTTGCTCAAATCACCTTCCTCCTCCCTCTGTGCTCCTATTTCTTCGATTGAATTGATCGAGCTAGGATTCGAAGGACGATCCAATCGCCGTAATGTTTGCTCAATTTTGGTCCATTGGGCGGTTAATCTGATGAATTTGATCGATCTCTCCACAGTAATCGTTTGTCTTTCCCGGATCCATTGGCGGAGTAGTTGTTGCACCCAAAAGGGGATTGATGAAATTTTCGATTTCCGGCACAGTTTCAGTTTCTGATGTGTTGAGGTTTTGAGAATCAGAGCGACTTCTGGGGTGGGTCGCCTTCATTTTTCACTTTGGAGCCGCTCTGTTTTAGTGCTTTTTTGGTTTTGGATGAGAGCTGAGCTCGTCACTCATTGAGCTGACTTTGAAAATGCGAGCAAATCGAAGTCACTTTGATTGTTCGAGCCATTTCGGTTGCTGCGGCAGCTAAAGTCCTTCTCTTTCGCCGGCATGTATTCTAAGGGGGGGTAAATGTACTCTCTTTCTCTCTCGGAAAGCCGAGATCCCAAGAGTTTTTCCAGTCGTTTGATTTCGTGCCGTAACCATTCATGGGATGTTGGGAGATATTTCTTTTTAGTATGTTGTCTGTGTCTATGTGTGCGCCTAGCTGTATGAATAGAAGGGCTAAGTTTAGCTGCTGCTGCTCATTAGGCGATGCCCTTGCGGTGTGTCTGCCACGGCGGACAACCTCGAACCCATGGTGGACGAGGAGGAGCTGAGGTCGTCTTCCATGGATGTGGCCCTCTGATGAGCAGAAAATTAGAGGGGGGTTGGGGGGGGGGGGGTGTTTCTCAGGTGGTGGAGGGGATGCCAACTTACAAAGGTAACTGCCGCAGGTACTTGTTGATGGTTCAACAATGGCTGCGAGCGAGCGATGACGTGGCTTCTGGTGGCGGAGGCTGACTTGGGGAGGTGGCAGCCGACGGGAGTGATAGAGAGAGGAGAGAGAAAGTGAGGTTTAAGGCTTGAGGTTTCTTTTGTTGTGAAATATTATATCATGTGATGGGGTGTACATGTCCTCATTGAGGAGCACCAATTAATGGACGCCACCTAGCGGGGAGTAGCTAATTCGAGCCCTAAATAGAAATTATTTTTAATGGATGTGAGCTTTGACATACCGCAGGTGTTATTTACCAATGGTTACTTGATTTTATGGATGTAGGTTTCTTTGCGTGTTAACTGTGAGTTGGTATGGATAAGCTATTGGAGTTTGGAAGGAAGGCTCTATTCTATGCGAGGGTCCTCTCTGGGTATGAAGAACGGAGGATAAGATCTTTCAGACTGCAGGTCGAGAAGCGCCTTCAACAGGTTCTTTGCCTCTTGTTTACTATTCATTATCTGCTTGCTGCTAGTTCAACATACGAAGTTATTTGATTTTAGTTTCTGGAATATACCTTTGAACTTTGAAGATATCTCGTTTAGGTTTTATTACTTGTATTAGAGAAAGGCGTCGGCTGTTCCAATCCTTAATGAAGACCAATACTTGCATATAATACCTATTGATCTTCTTTATTGAGTCCAAATACAATTAAACTGCGATAGCTCTCAATTGTAGGATGGAACTATCCTTCACTATTGAGCAAATCTGATAGATCCTCTTTATTGAGTCCAAATCCAATTACACTGTGATAGCTCTCATTTTGTAGAATGGAACTATACTTCACTATTAAAAGGATTTTGTATTCTAGTTTCAGTATCATTACAACTGAAGAACTGTGGTTCTGAACCAAAATTTTCTCCTCTTCAGTCTCTCATTAGAATTACCCCCCTTCAGCTTTTGTCTATGCTTAGTACTGTAGTTGAACTTGGGATTCATTGATTTGGGGAGGGGAAGCTGCTTCCTTTCTTTTGACTCTGCAGTTTGCGGTTGCGTGTATACTCGGGAAAACATGGTAGTTAGAATTCATCCTCTGCACTTTAAAATTGAGTTTTTCTGTCCAGGGTAGAATGTCGTTGATCAATCACCTGACTCAAGGCTCAAGAGTTCATGTACCTTTATTTGTGGTAGTGCATGTAGACTTTGCATTTCTTCTGCTATTTAGTTCTGTTACCTTTCTGTTGTCCTTTTAAAGTTTGGATGAAAGTATCATCTCCACCCTTATAAAGTCAATTGACTTCCTCTTTAGGAGTTGTTTTGAACTGAGGCTAACTCTCCAAAATGGAGGAGGTGTAAAATGGAGGAGGTGTGCACTGGAGTTGTGCCACCCAATACAAGATACCAGTGGTCTAATTTTCTCTTCACTCTCTGAATAGATCCTGTCCCCACAATGCTGAATTTTGGGAAACACTTGGACTGCACTGGAATACATTTGTCTACGATAAACAACCTTAAAAATTGAGAAATTTTTTAAAACTGATTCAAGGTAGATTTTCAGAAAGTGAATGACATTATATTTCAATGGTTACTGTCTGTCAATGAGTTCTCTTCTTTTCTAGGGGAGTCTTCATTGTTCATCTAGATGGATAGGTATTATTTGCATCCAAAAGATGTCAACTATTTTTCTCCTTGTGGACTGCTGAATTTCTCCATGGTCTTCTTTTTTTTCTTTTCTTTTCTTTTCAAGCTTTCTCTGGGGGTGAGGGGTTGGTGTTGTCTCATACCATGCTGCCTGAAACTTGCATATTTTGTCTTGGTGGTGAGGATCATCTTTAGTATGACAAAAATGATAGTTTTCCTTATCACGAGCACATACTAGATCTGGAATGCATAGTCTTTATACCACATTTTTTAACATTTTTTCACAATTGAAAATTGTTATAGGCTCCTGTCAGGGAATTCTTATGCCAATGCATCCATTTGTCGTTATACTAAGTCTCAATTTCGTTCGATGTTATCATTTGCAGGCTCAAGAAAGGAAGGTATCCTTAAGAAAGGTCCCCGAGCAAGTAATTTTGTCTGAGGTTCGGCGAATGGTTGAAGAGATGCAAGCTTTAAATAAAAGGCTGGAAGAAACTGTAAGTTTTATCATCTTTTGCTGGAAGAGTATACTTGATTATTCAGATCTTGACGACTCAGTTTTTATTTTTTAATCAATATACAGGCAGTTTCTTGTTTTTCTGTGTCATTAATATATGCCACATTGAAGCTCTCTAGGGTTGTCTGAATTGGAGTTGGTTACTTAACCGTGAATATTAGTCTTTCCCCATTCGAATATCTGGTGGGTAAAACTTTCCCACTTCATGGGACAAAGGGTTCTTCTGATGTGTACTGTAAGGATCATGTTCCACTAACAGATTTTGCTGGAACATTTGGCTTCTGCCATGCCGTGGACATGAATTTTACTTCTGCATGTCCTCTTTTGGGATCATATCAAGTCAGTATTCTTGGTAGTAGCTTGTACGTTTAAGTTTTTAAATCTTTTTCTGTCTGTAGTACAGCTACAGATGATAAGATCTCTTAATTTCCTAGTCAAATGTCTCGATATCTGATCATTTCTTAGTGTATCTTAAGGTTTTTCAAATGATCTATGCAGGAGTCTGCTATTGAAGAGTACTTCAAGCCAATTGACAAGCAGGCTGAGGCAATCATGAAAATGCAGCTCGAGGGTGAGGAGAGGACAATGAAGGAGATGGTAAAAACCATGCAGAGACAAGCCTTGCATGAGAGAGAGGACTTAGACAAATTGACAAATGCGAAATGTGCTGATGTAGATCAACATAAGCAGATTCCAAGAAAAAAGGAGGAAACGAGAACGTGAACAGGTAATGGTGTGTAGCAATTATTGGCAAAGTAGTCACTATTCGAAGATTGAGACAATTTTGTGGAGCCCAAGCAATTGGTTTTAGGCTTTTAGTTAGTTATTACAAAAAAAAAAAAAAAGAATTTGCGCTTCTGGCCAACACTTTGTATAACTCTTATTCGGCTTTCATTGTAATAATTGTACGAAGGTTACATCCTAAGTCCAAATTCCGGCAGCAGCTACTGAATTCAGGGTGTTATTTCTTCTCATGGTATAGTTACTTGATTTCCAAGGATTGTTTTTGGTTGATACTTTTCCATTTCATCATTATTCATCCCACGCTACTTAGGATGTTCTGCACATTAGGCAAACAAACACGATGCATCTGTGCATCCGAGTATGCCAAGTTCAAGAAGATACGTTAGTGGACTCCAGATAAGTTCAATACTTGATTGATTCTAATCGTCACATACTTAGTCATATGTATGCACACTTAAACTGACTCCAGAGGGACCGTCTTCGCCTTCGAGCATAGATTCCTTCCTACTAGTCATGTCTTTCGTTATTTAAGAATGATGCTAAGCGCATTACATGAATTTCTGCAACGGCACTGACCCGAATCATTTGTTGTGAAGTGAATCTGCAATTTCCTGTTCCTTTTGGTAATCTGCGATCTCATATGGAAAATGCAGTTGCCGAAAAGATCACATGAATCATCTGGGTAACACATTCTTGGGTTAGCTCCATCCCCATATCACATGGAACGTGTGCCGAAATCCTAACCCGGACGGGCCCGTTCTAACTTGGTGATTCGAACTTATCATCCTAAATACATATTGGAGAAAAAAGATGGAGAATCTTTCTCCCCTATCTTCATTCTTTACCTTTAACTAAAAGGTACCATTCCCAACAGAAATTTCTCATTGTTTTCCATCATAAACTCCTCAGGAAGGCATGCCGCTTTTCTTTCTTCAACAAAGTACCTTCATTTATGGAACAGTCCAAAACCCTACATGCCCTATTTGTTAGTTCAAGTGTATAAAGTAGGAAGTTCTCTTTTTTGAGAAAAATGGCAACCCTAACTTGTTCTTTTTTGGCCCCATAAGACAAGTGTCATATCAAATTGCTGTCCTGATCAGAGCCCACCATTTTCTCTTTTAGTTCTATTCTGCGGATCTTGAATCTTCATCCATACGCACAGACCAAATACGTTGATCTTTATTGTTTATCTGACTCAGTAACACTCATTAGGTTTAATGGGTGGTTAGACCCGTATTGTCCTTTTTATGGTGCTAATTCTTAATCAAAGGGATAAGGAAAACCCTCCTGTCATTCCTGGATGAACATAAGCTTATTGCTTTACCCGAAAGTGTGCAGAAAAAGATGTACTTTTTGACCTAAAAGATGGGACGTGAATGGTTATGAAACTCACGGATCAATATTTAAACTTTGTGGAAACAGTACTGAACTTAAAATTGTGGGGAAAAAAGACTTTCAGATGTCATATGTATGTTTCTAGGTTTTTCTTTTTCTTTCCTTTTCAGTCGAAATCGAAGATGGAACTATGTCACACGGACGAAGCGGTTCAATCCACACGCAGATCGGACCCTTAGAACCGTCAAATTGAATGAGACTTATGTCCACCTATTGATTTTCTTTTCCTTGGCCATTTTCCTATGACCCAAATTTAGGGGAACAGGAAAAGGAAAGACTTGATTTACTACTGGAAACACTATGGTCAGCATTATTAAATCAATATACAGGAGAAACAGCAATTCCCAGAATCAGTTTTCTGACCTTAATATTTATTCTTAATGTCTGTCAGTCTTATCAGTGGGTAGAACACACTTTTCTTAAAAGTCGACATATACTCGATTTGAGCACCGATCCTGGATCACCGACGGGTAATTTTTTGCCTAGACTAAATCACAAAATCATAAATAACGTGACGTTCACACGAGTCCCTATAAAAGAACGTAAATCTTATGCGAGTTTTACATCATAATGAAAATTAGTCTACCGGGCCACTAACAGATCGAACTTTTGGCTAGAGTAATCCACACCGGCCACGCTTGAGACTAAACATAGTGAAAGATACATCTTTTCCAAAGTGTAAGATCAACTTTGGAGACTATAGGATGACGATTCTTTTGTAAGAGAAATAAGAGGATTGATGAGCATGTATTAAAATATTATATTGTCGGTCCCACCCCAGCGACAAGTGAGTAGATATACAAATGCTTAACATCTAAGCAGTTCCTATTTTAATTAGACTTATTGGGATGAGTGATCATTTTCTTGCCTGATTGAGAATGTGTCAGACTGGTCCAGAGAAGGAAAAAAATCAATTATGGGAGGCTATAATTTTGCAAGGAATACATATTAATTATTTTGCAATTTAGCAAGGAAATATAATAGTCAGCAGGACCTTAAAAGACTCAAGAAAAGATAGGAGAAAGAATTCTTCGATATGGTGGAGCCTTCGCCATGGACACCCTTAGGTGGAGGGATCTTTTCGTAAGTTCTCTCTGTATTCATTCTCTCTTGGGAAGACAGAGAATGGGACGGAACTTAGGGGCCTATGGATGGAGAAGGTAGACTCCACTATAGGTGTGCAAAGGAACCGAAAACTGCCCGAACCGGATCGGATCGGCCCGAAATTGACAATTCTGAGTTTCGATTTACTAGAATCGGTGAGTACCGATTCGGTTCTTGGTTTTAGGCGTGGAACCGTCCACCAGCCCACCCGGACCGAACCGGCAGTCCGGTTCCAGAGTGGATTCAACAAACTAACGGGCGGTTCCCGGTTCCAAAAAATTGGAACCGATCTTTAGTGGGCAGTTTTCGGTTTCATGGTGAGAACCGCCCATCCGGATCATGCTCACCCCGAGACTTCACGCCAATTTCGGTGGGCTACCACCGGTAGACAGGTATAAGCATAATGGAAATAAATGGATGGGGTGGTGCTTGCTAATGCTATATTGCCCATTATTCTATAGCTGAGATTGGAAATAAATGTAGGTGGAAAAGAGACGTCAAAAAGTTGAATTTTTCAACTATTTTGTTTTCTTTGGAGATGTCATGTTCGGGGCTGCCAATAAATTTTCCGCGCAATGACTATGACCTTTTCTCAGTTAGCATTATACTTAAATCAAAAGCATATTCGGGCTATTAGATCTATTCGTATTTCTAATTCAAGACTTTGATTTGGATCACTATACTTGCGCCCGGTCTTCGCGCCATCTTAGAAGCGCTAGACTATGTCCGTGCCCCGTATGGCGAATGTTAATCGAGTGCTACCCTATTGTCAAGAAAAAAGAGAGAGAAGAGAACCTAACTTTTTACATTTACTCTGCAACGACCTTACCATTCTCTCGGCATTGATGTACCTTCGTTTACCCTTCGTCCCCTTTTTGAATTTATTTTTAGCGGGTGTGCATAGCATTTCTAATCAAATCATATCGTCGTAATTCCCGAACACCGTCAAAGGGAATTGCGTTTTCTCCTCTCTTCTCCGTCGACCATTTTTATTTCCAGCTCATCAGCTCGAGATCACATTAATTCTCCTAACGCCTTCTCGAAATTTAATTTAAGATCGTAAAATTAGGGGCTAATCGAGATCTCTAAGGCATAGCATTATTCTCCAACAAATGATTCGTGCATGCACTTCACTTCCAGAAGCTGCAAACACTTCTTTTTTAAAGCTTTCCCTTCATCTTCAACTTTGGGAGAGGCCCTCATGTGCTGCACTACATGAATTATCACTTTAATTTAGTAAATCTCTTCCAAATGTCAAAAAAAAAGAGAAAAAAAAACATGAGGAGCTTTTTGATTAGTTTATGATTAGTACCACACTAATTCCTGTTTTTTTTTGTCATCCACAGGTGACAGAAAACCACAACCTCATGTCCGCAAAAGTCGGTGTTTAATTTATAATTTCCACCATTAGATTACAGTAACACTAATAAACTGATGTTCTTGTCCTAGCAATTGGAGAGTGGTGTGGTGATCCCTCATCAGTTGGCACGCTCAAATGGATGGGTAGGTTTGGACAGGCATGAACCATGATGCAAACAAGAGAGCTTTTTCAATGGGTGGCTTCTGGTGGCTTCTGGTGGCTCAATATCTCTCTAGGTGGCCCTTTGCTTTATTTTCAAACCCCCCCTTCACTTGTCATTTTCTTTCTGGTTAAGCATACCCCTCTCTCTCTCTCTCTCTCTCTCTCTCTCTCTCTCTCTCTCTCTCTCGGATCGCTTGGGACTTCTTAAGCACACGACTGATTCGAGAAAATTGCCCAAAAAGCCCTAAATTTATTGTACGGCAGTCAATTCAGTCATAAACATTTCAATTTGGGCGATTTAGGCCTATAACTTTTGAAGATTTGACAATTTAGTCATTTCGGCCAATTTGGCCTGAAATTTGATGACGTGGATGCCGGCCGTCCTGAGTAGCACGATCAGCACTGACGCGAATAATTTTTGCAATTTTTTTCTCTTCTTTCTCGAAAGGCCAGCGGAGATCGCCAAGGCTTTGATGAAAAATGTCCATATCAGCGTCGGCCGTGCCACGTAGGACGACCGGCGTCCACGTCATCAATTTTGGACGGAAGGGCTAAGTTGACAAATCATTATTAAAGGTTTAGGATTAAATTGGTCAAAGTGAAAAGTTTATAACTGAATTAGCCGCCGTACAATAAATTTATAACTTTTTCGACCATCATCCTCGTCTAGTGCGCATTGAGTAACAACTGGTACATGAGTAAGGAGCTCAGTTAAACTTCGAATTTAGAAGGCCAACATATTTATGGCTTAACCTTGGACTTCTCTCAAATGTAAATGTCCACATTCATCAAAATCAATCATTGCATGAAAAGTTCTTTTTTTAAAAAAAACTATATATATATTATGGGAAATCAACCTGTGTGGATGGGAATTTCGTACTCTTGAAGCACCAAATTAATATGAGAAAATTACATATTTACCGTACTTAATATTATAAACTTAGAGAAAGATGTTGGAGACAACCCACGTTGAGAAATAGGACCATCTCGAATAGCCGGACGCATCTAACCACCTAATCAAAGCATTATAAAGATCTCACCAACTGATCCCCACCGTTGATTTTGTGTTGTTGCCTCGTTATCATATGTGACTTGGGAAACCAGGGCAGCTATTTCTTTTTCTTCTTTTATGGTTTTTGATTTTTTTAAATGACAATATAATTTTTTTTTCCAAATATGAAGTGCACTAAGTATGGGGAAAAACTTTGACTCGGAAAAAAGATGCTTTATTCCTA